AAAGAAGGAACTTTTGCGAAACTGACAAAGCAGGCCTAGGCATCCAATATAATCTGTAAATTTCACTTATGATTTGTAATTGGCACACCTTCTGCAGAAGTGCAGAGGGCACAGTGACAAGGTTGAACGATGCTGCTCACCCATGGGCACAGCCTGGTGTCCCAACATAGTGGGAATGATAAAGGTTAAGAAAAGCCTCATTTTACCAAACTTGACTTTGGCACAACAGAAAAGGAGGCCGGCAAGTGGGAACAGGTCATCAGAACTACAGACTTTGATCCAGCCTTAGATGTTCTGCCAGAAAAATGAGGAGTACAATGTGGGAAAGGACATCTCAACCAGGGCTGGGGGCTCAGAAGCTACTGAGCCATCTTTGCCATCACCTCTGTTGCTCCTGGACCTCCTGCCAAGAACTGACCTGGACATCAGAGTCTTTCGCCTCTTTCTGAGACACAATGCATGATAGATCACCTAGAGGATTAAAAACAAGAAATGATCAATTCTTGTTGGGTATGGCTGTAAGACCCAAGACTTCTCTAACTATGAAAATAACTACACCGCTGGATGCGATGGCTCACAACCTGTTGTCCTAGCACTTTGGGAGGCCAAGGCGGGTCGAACACCCAGGAGTTCGAGACCAGCTTGGCCAACTGGTGAAACCCCGTCTCTACTAAAAATACAAAAATTAGCCGGAGGTGGTGGCTCACACCTGTATTCCCAGCTACATGGGAAACTGAGGCAAAAGAATCGCTGGAACCTAGGAGGTGGAGGCTGCAATGAGCCAAGATCATGCCATTGCACTGGCCTGGGTGACAGAGACTCTGTCTCAAAAAAAAAAAAAAAAAAAGTAAAAGAACTACATTATAACATATGCTTTATGCCATATTCAGAGATAGGAGATCAGGTTGGTATGAAGAGCAAAGCTTTCTTGGATGCCTCTTATCCCACCCTCTGGCCACATCTATGCTAGAAGTTTCAAGCTCATGGTTTAAAAAGAGTGCTTCTCAAAATTTAATGTGTGGAAAAATCTCTGGGATCTTATTAAAATACAGATTATTGGTCTCCTACCCTAGATCCTGAGTGTCTAACATATTCCCAGATGCTACTGCAGGTCAGGGGATCACATTTTGAGTTGCACTGGTTTAAAATATCCCAAGTTAGAAGCCTGAGCCCTTGCTAACGAGGTAACTCATTTAAAAGTTATATGATATAGCTGTTTAGGATGTAGATGGTTAGAAATAGGTTTTGGTAACGGTAAGATGTTTAAAAAGATTCTTCACATTTTAATATGAAATTATAATGTATCATATAATCAAGGGTGTCCTGAACTGATGAAATACAACAGTTCTTCCTTTAAACTCAAAATATACATCAGTCAATAAAGTTTCAACCTCTAAAACAAATTCCACACTTCTGTTTCTTAATTTATTGAAAGAAGAAAACCATGGCACTGGGGACACAGTACAGGTGTGAATGGAGTAAGAATGGGACTACTAAGGCCTGGTTTATGAGCTAAATAGCTAGAAAATGTAATTTACACTATACTCTGTAAATTTAATTCCAGCTTTCTTGTACTTCCCTGAGAATGTCTGATGCAAGGTGGTTACAAGTTTTTTGTTGTTCTTGTTTGTTTTGATATTGGGTCTTTCTCTGTTGCCCAGGCTGGAGTGCAGTGGCACAATCATAGCTCACTGCAACTTCGACCTCCTGGTTTCAAGTGATCCTCCCACCTCAGTCTCCTGAGTAGCTGGAACTACAGGTGTGTGCCACCACACCTGGCTTTTTTTTTTTCTTTCCAGTTGTTGTAGAGATGGGGTCTATGTTGTTGCCCAAGCTGGTCTTCAACGCTTGACCTCAAGTGATCTCCCTGCCTCAGCCTCCCAAAGTGCTGGGACTATAGTCATGTTCCACCACACCCAGCCAGGTATGTTTGTTTGATCAAGCAAACCAATGTGGCTGCAAGTTTTATATACAGCATCTAGTTCTCCCTCAAGCGGAAGCTGGGGATTATAAACTGTAGAGAGCAACTTGAGGGGCCTGATAACTTTGCTTCACCTGTTACAGGTGCTTAGTAACAGACTTGAAAGTCTTTCTGCAACAATACACATCTAACAATTACTGAACACTCATTACTTGCCAGAAACCTATTACAAGGTAGACATATTTTTTCCCATCACTCTTGTGCCCATGAGCAAATTGAAGCTCCGACATGCTGAGACAATCTACTTGATCATATAGGTAGAAAGTGGCGGAGGTGAAAAATCAAAATTCTGATCGAAGGCCCAGTCTTAACGGTGACTACACGCCCCTCCTTGGCACCTGTCTTCTACGCCTAAGTCCCAAAGCTCTGGGTTAGTGATATCATTCCCCAGCAGCTCTCGGCGCGTTGCATCAGATAAGAGTGCGAAACCAGCTCGCAGAATGGAGCAGAGTCTTGACTGCGGTCACCCAGGGAGGTAGTGGCCAAGTTGGGCCAAGGCCTGGAACCCTCCTCTAGCATCGCACACCACTGAGCAGCCCCCGGGAGAACCTGCCTCCAGCCCTGACATCCCTCCCTAGCTCAGAGGTCGAGCCAGGCTAACCCGTGTTCCAGCCCTCAGTTTTTATGTAGGGTGGGCACATTCCTGTAGCGGTTCTTTAGGACTCCGCAGCGACAGGCAGCCCGGACCCATTTCACCCACAAGCACCAGGACCCCGACCCTTAACATCCCCAACCCTCTCTAACTTCGTGGCCCCGCTTACTCTTCATTCTTGGACCGCTTCCGGCGCGCTCTGATGACGCACTGGCAGTTGCTGTCGCAGACTCTCGGATATCGGAGATGGCGCTGTGCGTGACATCACCGACACTCGCCCACCTCGGGGGCGCATGCGCTTGGATAGGGATTGGGCGACTGAGAGCGTCTTAGCGGGTGTCGGGGAGCAGTGGGGAGGCGTGAGTCGCTTCTTGGGGCCTTTTCCGCTTGCATCTTTTTGCGGGACAGTCAGTAGGGTTGGGGTAAAGGCATGTGGAATGCTTTTGAAGGTCCAGAGCGGAGCGAGGCGAGGCGACTTGGAGAGGACTCGAAGGTTGGGGACCTGGGAGGGCAGAAATGGGACCGGGACGGTGGGATGACGTCTTTGTCGTCCCTAATCAGCGCTCTTACGGATGAGCCGCGGCAGCTTTCGCTGTGGGCACGGGCACCGAAGCTGGGACGGCAGGCTTAGGTTCTAGTGCCGTGTCTGCTGCTGACTAGCTGTTTAACCTCGCTTAGGTCACTCGTCTCTTAAGCCTCACTTGCAGTCTGTGCTGTGAGTGTGGTCGGCCGCACAGGTGATGATGCGCCTCCTGGGTCCCTTTGATGGTTTCAAGACGCTTTCTTGAGACTAAGAATATTAGTTTTTATCAATGAAAAATCATAGCAATAAGATCAAAGGTGGCTCACACCGTGGGAGGCGCAGGCGGGAGGAGCTCTTGAACCCAGGAGTTCGAGACCAGCCTGGGCAACATCGGGAGTCCCCCATCTCTACAAAACATTTTAAAAAAACATTATCCAGGCGTGGTGGCTCGTGCCTGTAGTCCCAACTACTCCGGTATCTGAGATGGGAGGATCACTTGAGCCCAAGAAGTTCAGGGCTACAGTGAGCCTGGATCATGCCACTCCAGCCTGGGCAACAGAGTGAGACCCTGTCTCCAAAAAGTAAATAAATAAATAAAAAAGATACCCCATTGCTCAGTGGAAAGGTGCAGGAGGGCCTGGTGCAGACTTCTCAGGAGTGACCCAGTGCTGGGCAGAACCGTGGTGCCCCAATTTCTGCTGAGCACTGGGCCTGTGCTGGGTGGGAGAGAAAAGCAAAATGGTCACTGTGTGGTTCTCAACTTTGAGTACAGTATACATTTCTTTACAGGGGATTCTGGGAGTATGTCCAAGGGTTTGAGTTTGAGAAACATTGGCTTAGTTTCTTTGCTGGTTACCTTGTACCATTTTGATTTTAAACATGAGACTGCAGGCACTGAAATTCGCTCATCCCAGTGACCCCCAGCGCATTGACTTTATATATATAAAATTTACATATTAGTTTTTGCATATGTCATACACTTATGCATTTATTTTATATGTATAAAATTGAGAAATACAACATTTAAACCAAAACATGCTGCCTTTGCAGATGTCTGAAAATTGTAATTTGTGGGACCGATAACGTGAACTACCAAATGAGAACTTTTATTATTTTAAAAATTAACAAGTAAGAATTGTATGCATTTATGGTGTGCAGTATGTTTTGAAACGTGTATACATTGTGTAATGGCGAAATGAGCTAAAAGCAATGCTAATACACTCATTTTGTGATGATAACACTTCAAACCTACTCTCAGTGAAATTCAG